TACACTTCATTTAGACTATTTATGCATAACTTCATTGATGTTAGGATGAGCATATCCTGAACTATTCCCCTTTCTACCAATGCAAACTGTATGTCTTATTTTCTACTAGAAATAAAAGATCGTGGTGGGCCCTTAAAATCCTGGTAACCTTAGGCTAGTAATAGTGAACCCATGACACATGTGCCACAGTGGGCACACTCAGCCTTCTCCTTGGCATGTCAGCCAATTCACCCCATCAGCCAAGCATCAGATAACAGTCTGTTTTCTAAAATGAAACCCCAGTATTCGGGTTTAATTGCAGCGTCGGCACTCTGCAATCTGTAAGTGGGTTCTGGGTTGTGTCTGAGGTTTCTGTCACTGCCTTAGGCACCATGCCTACTTTACCTGATGCAGAAGTCAAGCCAACCCCTCAGTGGAAGGAGGACCAAGGGTGCACAGTGTGGCCACAGTGCACCAGCGGTCTGGCCTCTGGGTCTCACCCCCAAGTTCAGCTCAGTCTTCCTTCCCTCCCTAGAACATCTAGCAGGATCCTGCTGCACAGAGCGTACATTCAATTACCCAACACGGCTGAAGAAAATATGAGCACACACCCTACCCCAAGAGGAAAAGAAGAATGGCAAATACCTTTGGGGCTTCAAGTTGTTTTCTGACACAGAAGCAAGATATAACTTCAGGATAGTCAAGTCAGAGAATCCTGAATAGAGCTAAGACATCTTGAAATGTCAGCTGTGTTAACAAAATGCATAACTGGATTTCTATCTGTTGCTTGCTAATGCTTAAATGTATCTAAAACTAACTTACTATCTTCATTGCTAACACCAAAGTAATGAGAATAGGTGTGGTAATATTAAGAGGTAGTTTAAAGACTGACTTTACCATCCTTGCATCTGTTGGGAATGGCTGAAGCTAAAAATTAGTCACGTGTATGAGGGTAGGACAAGCCCACAGTGCCTACAGCAGTCAAGCTAGCTCAGTCTTGAGAAAAGCATCCTGTCGCAACAATTTCAGTCATTAATTCACTAGGCAACCTTGTGTCTCATGATACTAACTTTGTAAGAGTATAATAAATAAACACCCCTACAGTTACTCAACAACCTGATGATTCCTTTGCTCATCAGGTAAAGAGGCTCCACCTGACCCAGCTTTTGTCTCTTGTGTTTATTTTCTAAATACCCTTACCATTTTCCTCCCAAGAACCACTGAGAGACCAATGAGTCCTAATACATATCTTGGCACTAACTCATTCCTGTGGTCCATCCAAGAATACCAACATTTTTTAACAGACAGGAAATTCTAAGGCCTAGGAAGAGAAACAAAAAGAAAGGCTAATTTAAACTGGCATTCCTATATGATGTATATCTAGTTAATCAGGTTTGTTTGTGGAAAAATCCCTGTTCCTGCGGTTACCCAGCAAAGGCTCTTTGTATCACTGGAAGCTCTAGCAGGTTCCCCATCACTAGTCTACAAGAACATAATTCCCTCAAATGAACATAGTCAAACTTGGTCCTAGAAAGGTCACTTCCTGGCCTCAGATGGAGGAAAAGTCTCCCTTGTCTACACATAAGAACCTACACGACAGTGCTAAACAGAACTCTCCTAGGAGAGTATCAGCCTTGTTTCTAGTGTAAATGAGGGTAGACCTGTCACAATTTTTACTTCTGTTTATATCTGTCCTTGGAAGAATCATTTTAACAAAATTTCAAAAATTTTAGAGGTTATTTTTTAAAAAAAGGTCCAAAGGTAATCTCATTAACTACTGAACTGAGAATTTAATGCCTAGCTGTAAGAATGCAATTGACATCTCTGAATTTCTTAGCTTTACTAGTAGTGTTTCTCCTCTCACACAACTTTCCCTTTTTCATATACACTATGGGAAAGCAAAAGCTTATAACTCTGGTAAATGTTCTGACAATTAAATTTAAATTCTGCATTTAACTTAAAATAAGAGTCAGTGCTGACTATGGAACACAGGATGGATAGGCTTTGTTGTCCACCGCACACCACAAATTCTCCAGATCACAACGTGGCTGATTCCATATTACTGAGGCTGGCAGAAGACAACAGCAATAAAAACTGCTAAGTGAAATCCACAAAAACTATGCTGAGTTTCTTTAACTGAAACTGTCAAGTTTCTCATACCTACTCGATTTTTAAGGACTGCTAAAATGAGTAGTTAAGCAGTTCTATTTACCTGACCTTCCTCTCACTGAGGACAGTAGAAGTCACTGCACACAGACCACTGAAAAAGGGCCAGGTGCAAAGAAAAGGGGAACAGGTGCCGTGAAAGGGCCTTCCACTGAGGATCGTCCCGAGTAACTTACAGCTGAGCTCGCTGTGCTTCTCCTACTCGCTTCTTAAGAATGAACTTTGCTCTTCAATTAAAGAATTAAAATTTCAGTTAATTTTTTCACAAACACAGGCATCTCATTAACCTATGTTTTATTTTGAGTAATTCATTATCCATTTCACATTATAAAAAGTAACCACACACGCATATGCATTCACAAATTAGATCTTTATCATACATCAATATATTAAAAAAGCAAGTATTTTCTAATATCAATATAGTTATATGTTGATTGCATCTTGAAATAGAGAAGCTGACAATAGCTTCATACAGTATATATTAAGAACTGACATCTTTAAAATTAAGAACTGTATATGTTCCACAGGCAAATTTTGATGGAAGTATTAGCATTAGTACAAATAAATGCTGTTGACACAGCTGAAGCATGATAGCTTGGAGTAACAGCTGATTCAAACTAGATTCATCATTTTAAATTAAATATAGACAAATACATTCTAAAATGTAAACAAAGTATTTATAAAAGAAATTCTTCTAGGAAATAAAGGAAATCATCAATCTATTATTTTTAAGGTATTTGTAGCTTGAAGTTATCAGAAATTTTTGTGCAATTTTAATTGCCAAATCTAAATTTGGGGATGTCCATGTAAGACATTGTCCCTTCACAGGCCTTATAAAGCTGCAGAAAGTGTTCAGTTGGACTTTTCAGCTGGGTGTGGAGAGCTATATGGCTCTTCTTCACCTCCCAAGTCGCTGTTCCTGTGGTTACGGAGTAAAGGCAATTTTGGCCATTTTGAACCGTCACACAATTGCTAAACATGAAAACTCTAACACAATGAAACCGCTGGCTTCCTGCAGAAGTAAAAGTGAGCTTGTCTGTTTTGCAGTTGTAGTTAAAGCATACATCTGAAGTTGCTTTCCATTACAATGCACTGTAACACTGGAATTCTGTAACCACATTATTATGTAAGAAATACATACTATACCTCTTAGGGAATTTAATTTCAAATATGGTTAAGTTTAACATAAGTTGTCATTATGTCTTTTTCCATTCATTAAAACAAACAAAACTTAAAAAAAAAAGAAAGAAAGAAAAGTAAAGTAAAAGAAAGAAGCCCCAGCCATGGCTTTAGCGTTTGTCCATCAATCGTTGTCCCCAGGTCTTTGCTTTGGTCTCCTTCAACAGCAGTTGATTTAAGGGTTGGATTTTCTGGATTTTCTAAAGGAAGCAGGGTAGGGTAGAGAGGAAACAGAAGACATGAGTGATTTTACCCATATAATGCTCATAAAATACATAAAGACACAAAAATAAGTTACTTGGAACAAACATGAAAACTCTAGGAGAAAAAAGTACACATTAACAATAACTAAGAATTATCTTTATTTAAAAAAATCACATGTGCACCTAGCGTAGCATACAACTTAATTCATATTTTCCTACACTGTAAACACTGCACAACCATAGGGAATATTATACAGCCCTAAGTGTATCAGTCGCACTTATTGGTCGCACAGCCTTAAAAGACGTTGGATACAGTGTGCATGTTCCCTTTCCTTAAGACACAGCTTTTTCAGATTTCCAGATGTGTCATTCTGTAAAGCTGGGGAGTGAACTGCACATAATTTACGTAGAAATAAAAACTGAAAAATACTTTCTGAAATCACTTCATAGGCTTCTTTTAAAAAAAAATGACATTTTCATTTGGGTAAAGCATGGCTCTGAATTGCAGACAATACTTCACATAAAACCAAAGCAAAACAAAACAAAAACTCTAAAACGCATCCGTCAGCACCCAGTTGGCTGCACTTGGAGCTCCTGGAGCTCAGCGGACTTGAGGCAGCTGGCCCCACCTGGCGCACACAGGAGGCGAGCACTGCAGATGTTGCTTTTTGCAACTAGCACTTATGTAAGAGCAAATTCAGTCCACACAAGGAAAGAACACGCTCAACAAGGAAAGAACAAATGAAGAAATCTGAATAAAGGAGAGCTTGCCTGAGTATATTAGGCTATGTGGTTTTTAAAAACTGCCTATAACACATAGAGGAGCAAGTGAAGCGAATTTGTGTGCTATGGCTGCACCGCTGCTCCAAGGGTGTAGTCAGGGCAGCCCTCTGAGCACTGGCAGGCCTGGGGTCAAGAGGGGGGACCTCAAGGTGCAGGACCCAAAGGCCTCTTACAAGACCAGGAGGCAGCCCTGCGTTCACGGATCAGGCAGGGAGCCGAGCAGGACAGGTCCACTCCGCACTCGGCCACTGCGCGGCAGGGCAGGCATGCAGCTCCATCTGGGTTGTGCAGCATGTCAGCCCTCCCCACCTCTCTGCTCATGGCTTCTCCACAGTGTAATCCCTAGAGCATTCCCTACCTGGGGAAACGGCACACTCTGTAGTAAGGGGACTCCCTAGTGACACTACTCATCTGTAACACTGACATTGCTTTTTCCTCCATTACTTCTGTGTAATGTATACACCTGCACTTGCCTTGATCCCCATTGAATAAATTTATTTTTAATTTTAAAGGAAGCTAGATATAGACATGTATATCTGTATATAACTGATGGGCAGCTACAATTTAAAATGAGTTATAATATATAGTTCCACTCCTTTTTTTTTTTTTTTTTTCATTTTCAAAGCTTCTTTTTTTTTTATTTTTTTTAATGTGTGTGTGTGTGTGTGTGTGTGTGTGTGTGTGGCCAGCTCAGCCCACCAGGGGGCGGGGCTGGCTGGCATGTGGTGCTGGGGGATTGAACCGCGGTCCCTGTGCTTTGCTGAGCTTGTTTTAAGTAGGTGCTTTAGACCACTGAGCCATCTCACCAGCCCCAGTTCCACTCCTAATAGGGTCTCCAGCATGAAGTCGCTGCAAAAAAATATGTAATTGAGCAACTTTATTGGAAAATGTTTCTCAGTTTAATGAAATGTATATAGACAGAAATCTGAACCTTGTTTAAGTTCTGTTCTACTCGGAAGGCTCAGGTGTTGTGTGTAAAAAAACAAACCTCTAACTGCAGTCTGAGCATCCTGGCTGAATGGTCTAGACCTTGGTAAGGTCGTTTTACTGGTTTTCATGAAGCTATCCTCTTCTATGTTTAAAATAAAAAAGACTTCGGCAATTAAAGCAAGATCCAAATTGCATACCACAAGAAACCACTGCCGAAAGAGGATAGAACTTCAACTTCAACAGTGTGTCCAGTATACTGAGCCCACAGTTCTGGCTTCTGTGTTGCAGTCATCTTTCTTAAGGTTACTGTAACTTAAGGTCTGTACCCCTCTTTCTGAGCACACAGCAGCGAGACACGATAGCTAGGTGTTCAAAGGGGTCTAACTATTCCAGTGCCTTCCAAGAGGTAAAGGCATGCAAACACTCCATAGGAAAATAAAGCCTCACTATATTAGCTGAAGCTATTTAAATGCTTTTTTTTTTTTTTTTTTTTTTCAGAACCGGGGATTGAACTCAGGCCCTTGTGCTTGCCAGGGAAGCACTTACTCCACTGAGCCAATTTCCCGGCCCCTGCTTTTTTTGTTGATTTCCTAAGAGTCTAGTAATTTGCTATAGACACATAAATCATCTTATATATACTATCTAGCCTAATAAAAGCTCATGTGATAAAATCACTTTGGGCCCAATTCCTTGGAAAGTATGTAACGGGAAGGAAGGTCCACTAGGAAAGAACAAACGCTCTGCGTGGTTACCACTCAGTGACTCACAAGGTGGCCTTCCGGGGCTGTGCGTCTTTACTTCCACTGTTCTTTGGGTCGGCTGTGTTAACTGTCCCACGGGAGGTACCAGGTAGGAGGGGACTGGGAGAAAAGGAGGCTGGAGCGCTGCTGGCACTGCGAGTCCGGAATGAGTCATCTGAAAGGAGGAACAGATACACAGAGCACTCGGGGACAGATGTTAAGAAGAAAAGCTAGGGCTGGGGATATCGCTGAGAGGCACAGCACCTGCCTGGCAAGCGCAAGGTCCTGAGTTTGATTCCGGGTTTAAAAGAAAAAAGTTAATGTAGCTGATTTTTTCACTTTTTAAATTAATTTTATGAAGGTATGATTACATACAATAATGGCACAAGCTGAGGTGTGGGCATACATATGCCACCATGAAACCTTCACCACAACGAAGTTGTGAATCCAACCATCACTAGCCAGCGTCACCTCGTGCTCACCACAATCCCTCTCTCTCCTCCTACTTTTCACCTCCCAAAACAACTGATTGGCTCCCAGTCATTGTAGATTAGCTCACATTGTCTTCAATTTTATATCAATGCAAGCCTGGAATGCTTTTTTGTCTGGCTTATTTCACGTGATCAGTGTCAATAAGATTCATCCATCTTGAACACACCAGCACGTTACCCTTTCTATTTCTGACACTGTTTACCCATAATGTTCACTGGGATTTTTTCTAGTTTTTGACTCTTTTAAACAAGCTGCTAGGAACGTCTATATACAAGTCTGTGTGGCTGTATGTTTTACTTGCCTTCAGCAAAAGCCTAGGCACAGAACTACTGGAGCAAAGAGAAAGTATACACTCAGCTTCAGAGGATTCGGCCAAAGCACTCCGTCCGTCCTCCTTCCCCGCCTTTCCTCCTCATCTTGCATTTCTAGGAGCCTTCTGGAGAGTGCTGCTCGTCACATGCCTGACACTGGGCACCTTTTCAATCTTAAGCACCCTGGTAGGTGTCAAGCGGTACCTCTTTATGTGTGGTTTCTTCTCATTGTTCTTAATTTGCAGTTCTCTAATTGTTAATGATGTTAAGAATTTTTCAGTTACAAACTGTACTCAACTTGTATGTCTTTTTCTATGCTCATATGCAGAGTTTTTGCCCATTTTAAAATTAGCTGCCTAGCTCTGTCTCTTTAACGCAAGAGGAAGCGATGCAGAGGGGTGGAAAATGGCAGAGCTGCAGATGTTACTAGAGGAGGAGATCCCGTCTGGCAAGAGGGCACTCATAGAGAGTTACCAAAATCTGACCCGGGGGGCAGACTACTGTGCAAACAACTACATACAGGCTACAGACAAGAGAAAAGCATTAGAAGAGACCAAAGCATACACAACCCAATCTCTAGCTAGTGTTGCTTATCAAATAAATGCACTGGCCAACAATGTCTTCCAGTTGCTGGACATCCAAGCTTCTCAGCTTCAGAGAATGGAATCTTCCATCAATCATATCTCACAGACTGTGGATATTCATAAAGAGAAAGTGGCTCGAAGAGAAATTGGTATTTTGACAACAAATAAGAACACATCAAGAACTCACAAATATACTCATAAGTGAAATAAACCAGACACACATGTGTAAATATCATATAGTCTCCCTAGTATAAGAACTCCAAAGAAGAAATACAAATAGAAAGATATA